CATCATGTGGCAGAGGGAAAGATTTAGACACTGAGTCAGTGGTGTTGTAATGGCATCTGCAAGTTTAAAAAGTTGCAGTGGAAACAAAGGAGGACAATCATGCTTAACTGAGTTTTCTGAATGAAACCCAAGGACTGTGTTACTGTTGTGATTCAGATTGAGAAAAGTGTTATTTTTAGCAAAGCATTTTATGTAATATTCCTTGCTCAACCTGCTTCTCGGCACTGTTTCAAACACATGCTACTGGTGCATTTGTACCTGCGACATTCAGGAATAACAGGATTTCATAAATCATGTCAAGATAAAGTAGACATGTGTGTAACAGTCTTCCAACTTTTCTGGTTATTCCCTTTTGCATAATAATCTGGAATTATGTTTATATATATCATATGATATTATATATTGTTTTTTATATTACATATTATAAATATATATCATTCCAGGTTTTATATATACTTTTTTGTATATTTTCTTGAAAAATATGTTTAACCTTGTCTCTTTTATAATTTGTCTTCTCCATGTTGTTGTCATTGTGCTTTTCCACGGTGTAAAGGTAAAAACATAAATCCAGCAGAGTTTCCTGTCTCATTTTAAAATCTCTTTAAATAGCTTTTTCTTACTCTTACACAGCAGGTCTTAGCGGAAGTCATTTGGTGTTTAACAGCATTCAAGGTGCTGTAACAAAGAAATTGGTGACTGTAAGAGCTTCTGTTGAACCTAGTACTATGTTTTGGCAAATACATCTCAATTTTCTTTTTTGTCTGAGTAAGAAGCACTTTGAGGAAGGGAAAAATGTGTCTGCTTTTTATGGAGTCATGCGGGATATGGAGTAGTTTGGCTGTTGGGCTTTTTTTTCCTCCCTGTTTTCCCTGAAGTCTGATTTGGGGGTGACTGTTTAAGTCTAGTGTTCTGTTGCACTTAATTTTCAGACCTTACATAGATGAAATGCTTGTGGTCACTGTCACTGGTTCACCACGTGAAGGATGCCTAATAACATGGGTGCTGGGTTTTCAGTGGGAGGAGCTCATGTAGGAAACTTTAGGAAGATGTCTTATTTAAAACAAACAAAATTCTAGCAACATCTTTTATGTCCCTGTAACCATGTGTG